TCCTCATCTTAGTTCTTTCATTGAGGCTGCGCTCTTGGGTCACAGACCCTCCTGTTAGAGGAAATATCTTCTCCAAGTCCACTCTATCCAGGTTTCTTAGTTTTCTGTAAGTTTCAATCAGATCCATCCTCATCCCTTTAAACTCCATTGAGTACAGACCCAAAGTCTTTGACTACTCCTTATATGACAAACCCTGCATCTCCAGGACCATTCTTGTAAAACTCCCTTCAATGCCAGCGCATCCTTCCTAAGACACAGGGCCCAAAACATACTCCAAATGCACTCTGACCAGCCCGTTATACAGACCCCGCATTACATCTCTGCTGTGTCTAGCCCTCTTGAAATGAATGCTAAAATTGCTTTTGCCTTCCTAACTGCCAAGTGAACCTACATGTTAACGTTAACAGAATCCTGAACTAGGACTCCTATGTCCCTTTGTGCTTCAGATTTCTAAAACCTTTCCCTTTGAGAAAATAATCTATGCCTCTTCTTCCTATCAAAGTGCACAATCTCACACTTTACAACATTGTATTCCACCTCCTATTTCTTTGTCCAATCTCTTAGCTGGTCCAAAACCTTCTCCAGTCTTCTCAATCCCTCAACATTACCTGCCCCTCCACCTCTCTTTGTGTCCCCTCAAACTTAGCAATAATGCCCTCAGTTCCATCATCCAGATCATTAGCATCTAATGTAATTAGTTATAGTCTCAACACTAAACCCTGCACAACTCCTTTAGTCACTTACCATCCTGAGCCAGACCCCTATATCCCCACTCTCTTCCTCCTGCCAGTCAGCTAATCCTCTATCCATGTCAGCTCCTTAACCCTAACACCATGGGCTCTTTAATATTTAGCAGCCTCTTGTATGTCAAAGGCCTTCTGGAAATCCAAATAGGTAATGTCAACTTTGTCTCCTTTTCCTAACTTGCTTGTTACCTGTTCAAAGAATTCTAACAAATTTGTTAAGCATGATCTCCATGCTGACTCAGCCCTTTTTACTATGCACTACATACAATCTCACCCTTAATAATTGACTCTAAAATCTTACCATTGACTGAGGTCAAGCTAACGAACCTACAGTTTTCTGCCTTCAGCCTCCCTTGCTTCTCAAACAAGGCATTTTCCAGTCCTCTGGGGCCCTCCTTGACTCCAGTGATCTCTGAAAGATCACCACCAATGCCTCTACAATCTCCTCAGCTATCTCCTTCAGAACTCTGGGGTGTAGTCCATCTGGTCCCGGTGATTTATCTACTTTCAGACCTTTCAGCTTCCCCACATCTTCTCCTCAGTGATGGTCACTATACTCACCTCTACCCCAAACTCTCTTGAAGTTCTGGTTATGTTGCTGGTGTTTTCCACTGTGAAAACTGATGCAAAGTGCAAATTCAGTTCCTCCACTTTTTCTTTGCTTCCCATTACTACTTCTCCAGCCTCACTTTCTAGCCGGCCCACTCTTTCCTCTCTCCCACCTTTCAGATATCACAAGAAGCCTCTTGCAATTATCTTTTATATTACCAGCTAGCTTACCCTCCTATTTCATTTTCTCCCCTCTTATTGCATTTTTACTGTTGTGTCATGACTACTACCTATATAGTGGAGATGTTTGATAACTTTACAAAGGAAACCAACAGCCCTTACTAACATGAATAAAATATTGATTGAATGTAGACTTTAAAACTTCTCCAACAGATGGTCTGGAAATCTTGATAAATATTTAAAGTTTTAGATTAATAATATCAGTGTATATAAAAAGGTACATTTTTCTCTCTTTGAAATGAGGGCAAGCTTCAAACATTTTCACGTGTGAACCAGGAAAATTTCTGGGTTCTCTGAGAACTATCAAACAACGAATCTTACTCCTGGACAGACTTCTCTGAGATCCCAAACTATGATCTGCATGTGAAGAACCTGTAAAATTCTGCAGGTGGCCATATAAGGGCCACTTACCACCCAGATCTAAATATTGAGGTGTGTGAAGGGGCTTAAGGACAAAAGAAACCATTCAGCCAGGGTCTCGGGTGGGGAGGTGATGAGGGGAACCTCTATCACTGGCTCCCTTTTGAAATCAGGAACCCCTCCCAAAGTTAGAGCTCCCTGGGGTGCCAACTTCTTGGCTTCCTTTCCCACTTCTGCCACAACATGACAGACAAATCTTTGTTCTGGGGCTCTGGCATTTTAACAATAGGGACTGCTTGCTGTCTGTAGCCCAGCAGTGGCCCAGCGGCTCTCAGACATGGGACTTCCGCCCAAGGGATAGCCGAAATCGTGAAACTATGCCATCAGAAAAAAAAAGGCTTCATCATCCACAAAGGGATACTGTCATTGTACAAGTTTTGTCATCAGCCATTCCCAGAGAGCATTTTTAGTTTATTATTCATTATTATCAATCAGCCTTCTTCTTGGAATCTATTAGAACCATACCCTACTCATATAAGGTAAATCTTGCAGAAGCACCACATATACTAGTTTTTGATACCTGACCAAAGAGGCTAACATTTTCAGGGGGAAGGGGCGTATTGTCTCATATCCCATCTTCAACTAGTCCATTTCTTGGAAATTGTTAGAAGGGGCACATGTGGCACTATAGCCTGTATTGTGGACCATCATTGACCAGTGGGTGTCCAGCAGCAGGCGGAAAACAGGATGGCAAATTTGGAAATTTTTATTTAATCTCTATGCTCCTCAGATGAAGTATTCAAGGCTTCTTGGCTGTTGATCTCCATTAACAGAGATTCAGTCATCATCTTTGTGGAGTCCTCAGCTGGATGCCATGCACATGTTGGATCCAGTAAGGGGGTCTTTCCCCAGGCATGAAAAATATCAGCAACTAGGTATTCAGACAGTTTCGCTCAAATTTGTTGGAGTGATTCTGCTTAGAAAAAAATATATACCGGTATACATAGAACAAAGGGCTATGGTGGGAGTGTTTCTTTCCAACCCTATTCCTTCAGCAGATAAGTTAGCAACTAAGAAAAACTGGTGTATAATTAATTCCTCTTGCCAATAATGGGGAACACAGGGTTTAGTGAGAGGGAGGAACTGAAGAAAATCTGAATTAGTAGAGAAATGTTTTTTGAGAGATTATTGGGAATGAAGCCTGATAGTTAACATCCCAGAATACTTAAGGAAGTGGCCCTAGAAATACTGGATACATTGGTGGTCGTCTTCCGAGATTCTTCAGACTCTGGAACAGCTCCAACAGACTGCAGGATAGTTAATGTAACTCCACTATTTAATGAGGGACGAAAAGAGAAAACAGGGAATTATAGACCAGTGAGTCTGACATCAGTAATGGGAATGATGCTCAAGGTTATTACCAAGAATTTAACAGCAAAACGCTTAGAGAGCAATGACAGAGTCATCTCCAGTCATCATGGATTTACAAAAGTGAAATCATGTTTGACAAATCTACTAGAATTCTTCAAGGATGCAACTAGACAAGCTAATTGGGAGACGCAGTGGATGTGGCTTATTTAGACTATCAGAAGGCTTTTGACAAAGTCTCACAATATAGACTAATGTGTAAAATTAAAGCACATGGGACTGAGAGTAGTGTATTGAGATGGATAGAAAATTGGTTAGCACACAGGGAAACAAAGTAGGAATAAACGGTTCTTCTTTCTGATTGGCAGGCAGTGACTAGTGGGATACTGCAGGGATCATTACTAGAACCCCTGCTAGTCGCAATACATGACTTATGATTTAGATGAGGGAATTAACTGTAATATCTCAAAATTTGCAGATGACACAAAGCAGGTAGAAGGGTTGGCTGTAGGAGGATGCAGAGTAGTTGCAGTGTGAATGGGTAAGCCATGGCAGATGTAGTATAATATGGATAAATGTGAGGTTATCCACGTTGGTAGCAAAAATAGGAAGGCACATTATTACTTGAATGGCTATAAATTGAGAGAGGGGAATGTTCAATGAGATCTGGGTATCCTCATACACCAGTTGCTGAAACAAAGTGTGCAGATGTAGCAGATAGTAAAGGAGGCAAAATGTATGTTGACCTTCACAGCAAGAGGATTCAGTACAGGAACAAGGCTCTCTTGCTACAATTATACAGGGCATTGGTGAGGCCATGTCTTGAATATAATGTACGGTTTTGGTCTCTTTATCTGAGGAAGGATGTTCTTGCTATTGAAGGACTGTAGCAAAGGTTCAGTGAATTGTCTCCTGGGATGGCAGAACTGATGCTTGAGAAGAGTTTGAGTCAGTTAGGATTGGTTTACCGGAGTTTAGAAGAATAAGGGGGTATTTCATAGAAATCTATGAAATTCTAACAGTGCTAGACAATTTTGATGGAGAATGCATGTTCTCGATGGTGGGGGAGTCCAAAACCAGGGTCACAGTTTAAGGATAGGGGTAAGCCTTTTAGGATTGAAATGTGGAAAATTTCTTCATGCAGAAAGAGAATGGTGAGCCCATGGAATTCACAAAGTGGTTGAGGCCAAAATATTGTGTGTTTTCAAGAAAATGGCAGATATAACTGTTTTGGTGAAAGGGATCAAAGAATATGGAGAGAGTGCAGCATTAAGGTATTGATCTGGCTGATCAGCCACGATCATTTGAATGGCGCAACAAACTCGAGGGGTCGAATGGCACAACAAACTCGAGGGGTCGAATGGCACAACAAACTCGAGGGGTCAAATGGCCTACTCCTGCTCCTCTCTTCTATAATACTATGCCTGCAATTGAGGATAAGACATTTTAATGCCTTGTGCTGGAGTAGGTTCTAATAGTAAATTAATAATTGGAACATATAAACCATTATGCCTTAAATGTAAATGTTTTGTGATATTTTCAGTGATGCAAGTCACATGAAGGGAAAAGAGACAAAGAAGAAATATTTTGAGCTGTTACATTTGGCAAAAGATATTTGCATAAACACCAAAAATGCTAATTTTATTTAATAGAGGGCATCCAATTAATGACTCATGCATGTACAGTGAGTCTTCAATCAATTATAAATAAAAGAAAAGAAATAAAGAATATACATACCTGAATCAAGAAGTGAGGAATTTTCAGGGTCTTTAATAGTTCTGTGCAACAGATTGCCATAAAAAGAAGTTGGCTGGTAAAGAAGAGATTACAGGGAAATCACTATAATCATATAAATACAAAAAAGTATTCGACAAGAAATTATCACTGGTAATATTAAAAGAATGAAGGCTGAATGCATTTGTATAACAACATACAATTTGCTTTTTCATTCCAAATACTAATGCATTTGAATGGAATAATAGCCCTGTTAAGATGCCAGAAGAATGACAAATAGATTTGTTAAGCTTTCAGGTGCTAATATTACGTGTTGCAATATCCAGCCTTATATCTTTAAGCAAATTTATTTTCAAATACCAATAGATTTCAGTTATAGTGCAAAATGCACAAAAGACTCAAGCTTCTAATTTTATGGGTTAAAATATTTTTTAAAAAATTTAATCCTATTCAGCAAAAAATTGTATTAAATGTCATTCATATTTAATATTAAATTGAATTAAATATGTTTTGGCATCCATTGTCAAGAGAATTAGTGAGGTATTGGTACTTTTTCTTTCCCTCTTTTTTTAACCTATCTCCAACTAAACTTGCTAAAAAGAATCACTCTCATGGAAGAAACTGTCATAACATTTCATATTTCAACTTGATACATCTAGCAGGCAACTGATATTTACAGATTCTGCTTTAAAATATCTCTTGAATTGGACTTTCTTTTAACCATGTGAAGTTATGCATCGATATATACTAGTGCCTGTAAATATGTAATTTTAAAATATAACCTCCAGACATCTTGGCAAATTCACCACAATCCAGAGTTATGTCAGTTACGTATAATGATTCTTTCCTTAGTTATACTGTTACAGCATTGTCGTCATAGTAAATTCTTTTGAGAAACATTACTATGTCAACAATTGTCAGAAAGACTCATAAGGCAGGTACCTATCACATTCAACTTTTGCAAAGTGAAAATATGGTAACTGAATCTATCACCATAATTTCTAGAAATTAATCATTTCCAGAGTACTCCAATATCATACTGAAGGAACTAATTTCTCTCAAGGGTATGGCCAAAGCTTGTTAATTGAAATTTCTTTTGCCTCCTTGACAACTGGAATAATAAACCTTACCCAGTGTCAACTAATACAGATTTCAAACTCCAATCTCTGAGCAGGAATTGGGAATACAAACCCTGCTTAATTGTACACTCACCAAACAGAAGCTAACTGTAAAAAGCCCACTGCAGCCGGCTGAGATCAATTATGTTGTACAGAACAAGGATGAAAGTTTGAACGTTCATAATCAGTGTGGTTCAGTTGGGAACTGAATTAAGAATCTGTCATCAGTCATTGCTCTGAAACAGAAGTAATCATTCTCTGGTTGTCTCAGTGCAGACATTTTTTGCTTTTATGGAACTCTACTCAAGGAAAATACAAGTTTTCTATTGTCTGGAGCAAAATTCCATTTGTTTTCGCTTTGAAATGACTTTCCACCCATCATAATAATCAATAATAGACTGCACCAATCGTTTTTTCAAAAATGCAGATAACTGTGAGATATATTCAGCAATGGATCTTCCATTTCCCTAAGCACATTGGGTTACAGTTTTTTTATTTACAAAAGTGGACAATCTCACAACCTGCATGTACCTTCATACTACTAAGGAATGAACAGCAAGATACATGACTTTCACCAAATGGCGAGAATAACTGGGCTAGCAAAATAATAGGAACAGAAGAAAAGTAAAAGACAAATCAGTTCTTGAAAATGTTCCACCATTTAATTAGAAGACTGCTGGTTTGTAAAAATAAATTAACCTATTTTTCTAATCACCTGTTCAGAGATGTTATTACACACCTCTGAAGCAGATGGGACTTGAATCGAACCTCTCAATCCAGGGCTAGGGACACGGTCACTGTGTCATAAGACGGTCCTCAAATGATTGCTGATTGGTGTATTAACTCTATTTACTCATCCGCCTTTGTTCTGAAATGCTTAACACTCCTGCCAAACAAAAATATATTGCTCTCAATTATGAAATTTTTAAATGACATGGCCTGAACAACCTACAGAGCAATGTTTGACAATTGCGCTCTTCTTTGTGCAAAGTGCTCACTGACACCACTTGATAGCCTCACTCCAATTCCAATCTTACACTCACTTGTTTCTGACCTTCTCACTCCCCACCACCAGAGGAAATAGACTAGACAGCTAAATACTATCAAACTTTTTTAGTCACTGTAATGGGACTAAATTAAAAAACACAATCAATAATGTCTGAATTACTACCTGAGCCATGAATAAACTGGCATAGCATACAAAGGATTAGAGAGTTGAATGTATGGCTCAAATATCGGTATGGAATAAATGTGTTTCCATTTCTGGCATACTAGCAGCAGTGTTAGAGAAACAGGGAACTGTTCAGAGAAGACATTTCAAACCAGCTGTGCTAGACCCTGTATCCTGGGGAATCAAACAGAATTTGTGCAGAGGGTTTTAAACCAAATAAAGAGGGGAGTGTTCAATGAGGGAAAATACAGTAGCACAGGACTACAGGGTACCTATACAATAAAGATAATGACAATATGACAGGGAAGAGCAGAATGTAAAAACATAAGAATTAATGAGCGAATAGGATCAGAATAGGGAAAAATTAAGAAAAAAACGGTGGTTTCTTGATTTTACAGAGCTTAAGTATTACTGAAAAATGACATTTTGTCAAAACCTTTCATTTTGCACTTATCAATACAATTCACAATTCAGAACACACTACAGTATGAATAAGGGGAAACCCAATATTTGTATTGTATGAGGTGAGCGCGCTGACTGGTTGATTCGAAGTCTCTGTGGACACTGATTGTTAAATAGACTCTGGTAGAACTGTTGCCCTGGAGAAAGCATTAAATAATAATGATTGATAGCTCACCTGCCAGGTTTTGTTTAAATTTAAAACCAGGCAGGTCAACACTGATTGGTCAAGGCATTGCCAGGCTGTCACCTGTTTTGCAGAGTTGAAGCAGGCACAGTGCATGCGCATGTTCTTCCTGTCTGCAAAGAACAGGACCTTTGTATTAACATACGTAGCTTCCAGTACACTCAAGTATGTCACACTGCAAGCCTGACTGGTAATCTTAAATTAACTGACAGGGTAATTCTTTGCAATCAAGAAAACATAGAAAATGTTGTACAACTGCAGAATCAGTTGTGGGTTTTACAAGTGCAGGCTAGTTGGGTAGGGTCAGTACAGTGTTTGTCACAAATAGTCAAAGGGATATGCTGTTCAACACAATTTGGAACATACAGACTATATACCTGGCATCAACTAGCATTGAAATTCATGTGCCACATTGCTCATTTGTGTGATCAGCAGAACTTTTTTTTGACGTGACGACAGCATCCTGTTAGTGATGAATGTTGTGTGTGTTGTTACTGCATAGCAGCAATATAAAACAGCTAGCTTCATCCATTGCTCAAATCTTTGAGATACTTTACACTTCCAGTGTAGTTGGAGGTAGATTGGGCACTCTTCAGAACCAAAAATGATGGTATTAGAGCTGTTTGTGTGTTTGCATGATATGCAGTGAGAAATTCTCCCATCAAGGTAGTCATTATCTTGCAGGATAGATTTAATGCACCCTATTTCAACATTGAACAAATGGCTCAGTCCCTATTTACAGGGTTGCCAAATGAGCAATATTAAAGTATGTCAAACTGTAGGAATCCCAAAGTATATATTGAGTAATGAAGGTAGATTTGCAGTAGACATGGCCCTTGGCCTATTTATTGATTAGGATGTTAAAGAAAGGGAGATCATTGACTGTTCCACTTCAAAGATGAATTTGAGCGCAGAAAGGAGCCCATGTAAGGAAATTCTTACATGTAGCTGACAGATTCAAATGTGGCAAACATATAATCTACATATCAGGAACATGCAAGGGGTAGAAGGTTAGCTGCCATTCCATCGAAGACATGTCTCTCAGGGAATCCAATAAAGATGTTTGAGAGAGCTGAGCCTAATAGGGATTCTTTATCAACACCATCAGTTGGTCATGTATTATGTTAAAACTGAGCTCAACTGTGTGAGTTGATGAGTTTGTAAGTTCAATGAATACTGATTCATGACTGGTGGAGGGTCTGGATCACCACAATATAAAGCTGCAGTACTGATGTCTAGGGCTTGTTTGAGTGGAATGTTGTTTATGGGCTAGCAATGTCAAATGAACATATGGACACTGCAAGTTCTGTCAAGTCTCTGAAAACAAGAAGGAATCTTTCACCTTGGAGTAGAAAATTTGGTCAAAACTGGTGTAATAATTCACTGAACCATTTGGTCAGTTCATGTTGTGCCAAGTACCTTGGGCAGCCCATAAAAATGCAGACACAGTTAGCCATGACGACGCACACTATTGTGTACATAAAGTGGCTGCCTGTTCTGCTTATACAAGCCCAACAAATGCCTTTTAGCTTGCCTACAAGTAAGGATGTCCAATGGATACAAATACGCACACATCATTAAGAAGTGCGTATTTTGTCACAATTGTAAGGCATGACTATTCCAGTGCCTTTGTTGAGTTTACCTCCAGTTTGGCCTTGGGCCTCACATTGCTGCCAGATATTCACACTGCATGTGAAAATCAGCCAAGTCACTGAAAATCTTGCAACATGCACTAGATCAGCCAGGCCAAACTTCAGGGATTCACTGTCTTCAGTAGAAATTGGTTTGTGTCAGGATAGCTGGGAAGAGAGGAATTCTACAGCAAGTCTACCTACACTGGTCAGTCTGCACATTGGGATTCTTACAGTTTCACACATGATTAGATTGGCATTGTCAGCAACCTCAATTATAAAGTCAGAGACAGATGCAGGCATGAGGCTGAATGAAAGTGAAAGAAAGCCATAGTCCTAGAGGACCATAGACTGCTCTCTCAAATTCGATAAAGATGACTGGTGATGAGTTTAACCTAGAGGACACTACACCTCTGATGAGGGGTGAGGACCAGAAGGCAGGATCTTTCAAGCTGACTTTAGCTCGTATAGCAATTGAACCTATGGTGTTGGCATCATTCTGCATTGCAAACCGGGTGCCCAGAGAACTGAGTTTGGTGCATCAAAGCCTTCCTACAACATAATGGGTACCCTAATCAGATTATTTCTCACTGTATATTACGGAAATACATTAATGGCTCTAAAACTATTTCTTGTTCATGAAATGCACCGAGTCCATCTCTGATTTTCCAAATGTTTGGCTACGTATGGCATTAGCAGGATGCTGTCATCAAGTCAACAGTGACCTTCTGTATACCCTATAAATGAGTAATGTGATACTTGGAATTTCAATGCTGATCTGATGCCAGATATGCAGATTGTATGGCCCATGGACTGGCAGAATGTATCATATTCATCTCAGTTATTGACAATTGGCAATGCACTTACCCTACCCAACTAACTTACACTTGTAAAACAGTGACCAACTAAATGTGATTCTGCAATTGGATAGTTCCTGGATAATCCTTAATGTATCAGGAATTACACTGACAAAAAAAAAATTAGGATTGTCAGTTGTCAACCCAACTAACTTCACCAAGAGCGTGGTAAACTTGCTGGAAACTACATATATTAATACACAGGGCTCTGTTCTTTACAGACAGAAAGAAGCAGTACATGTAAGATGCCTATTTCACTCAAGTATGTGACAGCCATTCACTGGTTAATTTTTCAAGGCAATGCCTTAACCAGAGTCAACCAGTCTGGCTTTAAATTCAAACAAAGTCTGGCAGTTAAGTGTCAATCATCATTATTTCGAGCACTCGCCATGGCAACTTCTCTACTAATCAGAGTCAACTTGCAACCAATCAGCACCCTTTGCTCATACAGTATAAATGTGAGTTTTCCCCTTATGTTGGTATGCTATTGATGAGTGAAATATGAAAAACTTCAACAAAACGTATCTTTTCTCAGCAATACTTAAACAACAGCAATAAAGACTCATTATCTAAATGTACACAGCATTCATAATAAATTAGACAAATCGATGGCAGAAATGGAAACAGTCAATAGCAGGAGCAGGCTTGCCAAACTGAGTAGCATGACCAAGCCAAATGTTGTCTGTGGACTCTTTGGTTGAAGGGATCTAGCAATGGGAAGGGGAGGCCTGTTGAAAGCTATCCTACTGCCCTTGCTGCTGAGCCTCCTCTCCTGAGAATCCCCTCTCACCTGTGGCTTGGCATCTAATGACAATCCTATGCGGTCATACTTGGCAGTAGCTAATGCTCCATCAGTTGTACTGACATTTAATAAAGCTGCCAGCCTCTGATTGGCCAGCAAATCTTGGCAAATGGGAGTTCTGCTCCCTCTCCTTCCTGATTTTCCTTGATCCCAGAGAAGGTCTGCCATTGTCCAACTAAGTGTCTAAGTTACATTGAATTTTGTATGATTTCCATAAAGGAAGGACTTTCACCAACTCTCCAGCTACCAGGCAAAACTCACATAGCTTCCATTACATATTGTCCAGCATCTTGCTATCAACCTTGCTGAAGAGACAGGTGAGGAGTATCAGGGGTAAGTGAGCAAAATTTTAGACAAGCCTTGGAAGTAAACTAAAGATAAATTAAGTGAATATTATGTTTAATCATCATGAAAAACATGATAGGCAGGTGTGATGGAAATCCCATGTTAGAAAAAGCACATTGGAAAAAGCATGTTAGGAAAATGTTATCATAAATGTGCCTAACAAATGTTGTGCACATGGAAGAACCTTTACACGTTAGTTTTAGATGAATGGCAATACTCGATTATTGTAGGTAGTAAATACTTTCTCATCCATCAACAGAATATTTAAATCACAACGAAATAAGCTAAAAGTTATGTTTATTCTTCAAACAATGACATTCCATTGAAACTTTTACATTGTATTTAAGTGCTTGTTCATGTCGATCCTGCTAGGTAAATAAGACAAGAAAAAGGTAATTATGAACCATTTTTACTCAATTGAATTTAAATAAACATTAAACGTATATTTACACAGCAGGCATTAGTTTTTACCTTTGGCCTCGAAACCTCACCAGGGGTTTGGTCTGTTTCTTCATTTTCATTCTCTCTCATTTTAAGGTTGCTGACCACTATGGTCCCCACTTTGCTTGAACCATCTAGAGGGCTGAAACATAAACAAATATCCCCTTAACTCAAGTAAAAGGAACTCACAACAGCATTTCACTGGTAGCTGCACATACTCAAATTGACATGCCACGTAAGATTTTTAAGTGGTTATTTCTTTCAAAGAATTATTTTAGTCATGCTTGCAAAATTCAGTCTCTGTTTTAAGATGCTCTTGTTTTGTTGTATTTATAAATGGATAACATATTACCCAATGGAGATCAGTAATATCAGTGCAATTTTTAAAAATTCTGATGTCCAACAGAACTGCAAAATGCACCACAATAACATAACTATTACATTTGTTTGGTTGATCCAAGCCTTCTAGTCTTAAAAGCATTTGAGAATGTGACCTGTTCAACTCTCAATTGTAAATATAATCAAGTTGCTTAATCTTATAAGAATTAAATATCAGAACAGATGATAAATCATACAAAGTGTTTAGGTTTCTAAATTCCTCATCCCTATCAATTCTAGAATAATATTTCCTAAATAAACACAGGCCTACCCTGGCTTCAGCAGTAACACGGGAAACAATGAACTGTGACAGGCCTCCAAAGAATCTGAGACAACCAAACTGTAATCTTTCCTGGTGCCCGATGGACAGAGCAGCACACCTGATGTATACAAACAAGTATGTGGATATTTTCCTCACTGGCTGCATGAATTAACTACAAGCAACGGTGACAGAAATTAGGTCATGAACTGTGCAATAAGATTTCTTCTCACCGCTAGATATATCTTTCACCTGCTTTTCAGGCAGTATATCTCAAATTATTAGAACTTGCTTGAATTTAATGTTCTCCTCATTTACTTTTCTGTTCTTTTGTGAATTACTTTAAATATTACTCACCCATCCAAAGACTTCCACACTGCTATCACCTGAACCATTGACTCTGTAGCTGGACAGAATTATTTCATCCCAGGACTTCCCTCATGTCTGCACCTCAACAGCTAGTGCTCATTCTCATTTGTAACCTGATACCTCTTCTCCAACTTCACCTTTCAACCCATGCACCCACTCTAATGCCAATAGCCCCCGATCCCACCACAAATGCACTTCTGTACAAAGAAGTCACCTAATTCCTCACAGCCTTAACTCTCAGCCTTTCCATGTAGCAGAAGGAAAAAGTCAACTGCTACTGAAGAGGCAGAGAAGCAAGAGTGAATTAGCATTTGTGGCCATTCTGACAGTAATGGAAGTAGATTACCTGGAGACTGGCAGAATGGCAGCTGTGAAGGCAATTGCCAGTGGAAAGATGGTTGGCACAGAGTGAAAGTCATAGATATTACATGGCCACAGCACTGAACAGTCACTCATTTTGAATCTAGAGTCATTCCTCTGGATCTGCAAGGGTTTCATTCTTGAGCACCCTTGAGAATGATGAAATTCGCAAATGCGGTGCTCACTAAAAAAGGTTAAAATGGTTAAAAACATTGTAGATATGTTATTTTTGTTGTTACTTGTCTTTTTGTGCAGGTAGGCAAATTTGATATTTTGTGGATGCAGAGGATTTACTATATACAATAATATATGAGCCGTTGTGGGTTTCACAGCACGAACTTGGAACCTTGTTTTTCCTACATATAGCACTAATGACCTGACCAGTTAACTAAGTTGACATAAATTTGCAGTAAAAGTTATCTGATCAAAGGCTGTACAACATGAATTAATTATAGATTTATGTTTCACAGCATTCTAAGAAATCATTTCAAACCTCTCTTCTTCATTAAAGTTTACATTTAATGTGATATGGTGATCTTGAGGAGAGCTTTAATCCTCTATATCAGAATGAAATTCACAGGAACATGTGTTGTAACATATTATGAGAACACCAGAAATAAAAACAAAGACATCAAGGTGAGAAATTTAGAAGGTTGGCTAATGTATTGTGCTTAAAAGGGCAGAATAAAGAAGAGAGAAATGGCACCTCAATTATGTTACAAAGTATCCGTAAAGAGATTAAAAAATGATGAAATAAACTAATGCAAATTAAAATCTCATTGTTCAAAACACTTTTTTAAAAATTCACTCGTGGGACATGGGCATCGCTGGCTGGGCCAGCATTTATTGCATTTCCCTAGGTGCCTGATTAGTAATACACCAACAATCAGGGTGAAAAGCTTTGGCTATGCTTTTCTGCTCAGGCTTGACAGGATGTAGCTAAACTAAGAACTTTAACCACAATCTTAGGTGGAATCACATAGAATACATTGCACATAAACATGTTATTCAGCTCAATCAGTTCCCATTCCCGTTGAGCCTCTGTATAGATCTCCTTAAGAACATACTGAAAAAGCCACAGGAAATTAAAATGATATAAATGCACAACACCTCAATCGGCTATGGAAAAATAAATGGCCGAATGGTTCCAGTCTGACTCTTCAGTAAACTAAAAAATCCGCATACACCTCTTGATTTAAGTTTCAGACATCTCAGATGCACAATTATGTATTCCACTCTAATGTTTCAAAGTATTGCATACCACAAATTAATTCTGAACCACAGCAAACATCATCTTTATTCATTGATAACACTTAAGTCTGCATCAGAAGCTAGTGGGTTTAATTTCCACCCCTGGATTTGACACGTAATGGACACAGGTATTTCAGTGTAATCCTAATTATTGTTCTTTAGATGAGATATTAAACTGAGGTTCCTCATATCTTTTCTGGTACTTCAGACAGAAAAGATCCACATCAGAAATTTTTGAAGAAAGGTAGGGGCTGCAGTCTTCTCCTTCCCATGCACAATGTTGGCAATAGCACAAATTTGGGAGAATCATGTAAGTTCAAGAGTGGGAGAATGGGAATTAGGCAAGATGATATAATGAGATGTTAACTCATGGTAATGTCAGAAAATAATCTCCTCACTGCAAGAATCAGTGAGGAGCTTCCCACCATTGAGGCAAAAAATCCCATTTTTCAATGAAGTGTTGAATAGAGAGACAAGATTCTTACTACAGAGCACTGAGGAGATCATTTTCGTACATTATATTGCATTAACATCTCATTATCATTTCATCTCACCTCATCAATGTGTATTTCCTTTTCTCCCACCCACTGCATAGAAATTAAACAGTGACAGTTCCCAGCATGAATGTCAGGATGACAGCCTAGCAATTTCAGCTTGCCACCTGCTCCTCCAGCCCTCCATCAGTCACCAACATCTCAGGGTACAGTCCATGAGCACTGACCTCACACACCCATTGTTCAGCTGGACTTTCAGACACAAAACCGGGTGGCAATTAAATGTCCAGGTCACATAAAACAAACTATGCAGGGTGACTGTGTACTGCTATTGCTTGACCAGGGTGCAAGGCTGAGCTGCAAAGATGGTGCCTACATCAGTAATCGCAGGTTGTCAAGCAGTGACCTCTGCTTCCATCTGCAGTCAGTGGAAGATTATGAGTGAGGGACCATCAGGGCATGATACTTAGGTAATCATGTCAATGTGACAATGCTGTCACTTTACGAGGTTATTTTGTCCTGTTTTTTTTTTAAATGAGTTTGTAAGGCAGAAATACTGAGCTGAGTCTAAAAAAGTAAATAATTTGTGAAGCCTTTGAGGTCTCAAATGAGTTGGAAGCTACAGTGAATGTCTCTAAGGTTTTGGAGTAGATTTCTAGCTCGGGTTGTGGATGTTGTGGTTGGTTGGATCACCAAGCTGGTTCGTTGTTTCTCGGCAGACGTTTCATTACCCTGCTGGGTAATATCATCAGTGCAACCTCCAATGAAGTGCTGTTGTGTTTTCCTGCCTGTTATTTGAACTCTGGAGTCCATTGAGCTGGATTACCTCACTTCCGGTTTTCCTTTGCAGTGGAGTGTATGTGGGGTCGAGCTCTATGTGTTTGTTGATGGCTTTCTTCGTGGAGTACCAGGCTTCTAGGAATTCCCGTGCTTGTCTCTGCTTTGCTTGTCCTAGGATCTTGGTGTTGTCCCAGTCGAATTGGTGGTTCTCCTTATCCATGTGGATAGAAATGAGTGAGTATTGGTCGTGTCTTTTTGTAGCCAATTGATGTTAGTGTACCCTTGTGGTTAATCTCCTTCCGGTTTGTCCAACGTAGTGTTTGTCACAGTCTCTGCAGGGAATCTTGTATATGACATTGGTCCTGTCCATAGTGGGTAGTGGGTCTTTGGTTCAGGTGAGCAGTTGTCGTATGGTTGATGTGGGTTTGTGTGCTACTCTGATGCCCAGTGGTTGTAGGAGTCTTAGAAATGTCTGCGGAAAAACAACAAAGCAGCTCGGCGAGCCAACCAACCACAACAGTGAATGTGTCTTAGCTGCTACTTCCTCTGAATTTTCTCGATGTTGTTTTCCTCCTGGATTGCATGTGAGAATCTTTGTCTGAATTTGCCTTTTTGCCAAGGGATGTGTTTCTGGAATGTTACTAAATTGGAACAGTTAATTAGTAATAACTACTGTATCTACTTATTCAGTTGAGTTTTCCAGTAGTTAAGTTATTCTAAATTCCTCTTTCTTTTGTTTGTATTTTCACTATAGTGTTTAAATAAATTGTGTTTTGATTAACGTCGAGTAGTTTGACCAGTCGTATAGTATCTGGAACATGGCACTTCACATCTACCTTTAAAATAAGAAAATGTTAGGGTTAGGCTGCCTTCTTAAAATACTTTGGGTAGGTCTGGTCTGGTCCATAACATCAGTTTGGGAACACTGTGTTAGAAAACTGCTAGCTCACCAAGACAGACCCTCCACGTAGCTCACCAAAAATTACACTTAGCCGGTTTCTGGTAAGATTCAGCCCAGGTGCCGTTCCTGGTTTATCAGCCAGCATTAATCCCTCAAGCATCCGCACCAAAACAGAACAGTTGGCAATTCACTTCCCTGCAGTTTGAGGGACCTTGTGTAGCATTCACCTGAAACTCAATAATGACTACAACTTACAAAGTAATTAATTAGTCATGATTAATGAACAGATTATGAATGAGACATGAAGTAGCACACTGTACTAATTTACATTTGCTAAAATGATTGCTCAT